ATCAAGTTGATATTATTTTCTTATATGAAAATTTAATATTTTCTTTCATTGATTTTTATCTTTATCCTTTATCTTATTTATTTTTTCAATTTCCATTTGTTTTGTCATTTTTAAAATAGATCTATACAATAGAATATGTTGAGTAACAGTGATTATATTCCTGACTTTAATTAAGTTCTCGCAAATGTTTTTAATTAAAATGAATTTTTTAATTTTTATAATTCAATTAATTTAAATGTTTATTTTAAATGTTTTGAAAAGGTACTTTTAATTTCATATTTATATTGTATAGAATAAATTATTTTAATTTCAAAATAAGAATGGATCAATTTTATTATGAAAATAATAAGTAATTCAATATACGATAAAATGACGAAATGCTAGATTAAAATAGCATTAGTAAAATATGATGCACTTATCAATATGGATATTCTGTATTGAACAGTCCACAATGACCATTATAGTAGAAAGTTTTAGTCAATTAAAAATGTTTGATCAGTGGTTAATAGTTCTAATTTAATTAATAAAGAATTAAGAGCTTTGATTATAATAATACCAGTCATGTATGATAACAAGTATGTATATTCCGCAAGCATTTGAGAAGAAGTTAGAATTTTTCCAAAATTAGAAAAAATACAATCTAATATTATGTGATAAAAATGTTTTCTGATAAATTATTTGCGAATAACCTTTTATAAAATTTTCATATTTTAACAATTCACTTTTTATTTATATTTAATTATGTTACTTATATTAAAATTAAAAATGTTTAAGACAAGTGATTCTCAACAATTTTTTTGCTGGCGTGATCCCTTCTCCAACTTGCGATTTATATAAAAATAAATACACCAAAAACGTGCCGGTAGATCAGCTTAAACGCACCCGTGATCAGTTAAAACCCACACTTCTATATTAGCACTATAGCTATAATTTTGTGTGGTGTATAGGTGATGGCACGGCTATAATCTATTTGTGTTTACAAATACAAACTGTCTTGAAAATATCATTTTTTTCTATTAAAATTGGCGTGTTTGTTCTTTACCTTTTTTCATTTTTTAAATTTTTAAAGTATACTCGTATAAGTACTAAGTTAGTGAAAATAATTGTGACTTTCAAAAAAAATTTCTCGGCCCTCATTTAACATTTTCTTTTGTGACACTCTTAAATGCGCTGTAATCCACTTTAGAAAACACTGTTAGACACAAGCACGAAAAGTTTATATTATTTATGTACGTGCAATAATATATCAATATAAAATCATATTATTATAAATTAATTTGATAATTAATGTAATATACAATCAGAGAAGTTGTATAATTTCATAATCTTTTACGTGTAAATTGTGTTAAAAGTTTATAAATTTCTCACTTAAACTCAAGAGAATCAAAAATATTTCATGGTTGAAAAACTTTTGTAACATGAACATTGTATCATATGAGAGAAATTAATTTATTTTCAAAATTTTATGTGTAAAGAAATATTAATGATTCTACAATATTATATAATTAAATTTCTATAGCAATTTGAGATTAATTTTTATTACAATTTTTAGTAAAGTGCTACAAATCTATTTTAAAGAACAAATAAATTAATCAAAATAAAATTTAGTGAATTGTTGAGTGATTCTAATATTTTTCTAAGCAATGTAATATCAAATTTCTTTGCTTTCATCCCGAATACCAGTGAAAAAATCATATTGAATTACAATTGGTGAAATATGTATGTAAAAAATGTTGTTTAATTAAATTATCATGAAACTTTAAGAAATAATCAAAAATGGCATATGATAATATTTGAAAAAATAAGTAATTTTTCATTACTGCTTGCTTGGACATTTAATCAGTTTAGAAATTATTACATTTCTTTAGAATATATTATTCTTATTTAAAAATATTTTTATACTTGACATACTAAATAAACGGAAATAAATTATAAGTAGTTGAAAATATTAAAATAAAATTCATAAAGCTCATGATAAGATTAGTTTGCACTTATCGTAGTAATTTAAATTTCTTAAGCTCTGATAAACACAATAAATACTCGTATGTTTGTATGGGCTACCAATTACGATTTTTTTGTATAAATAAAAAATGAAAGGATTACAAAAAAAAAAAAACAAATCAATGTGTTTTTCTTTAATTATATTTTTTATACTTATATCGAAATTTTATTTCTCAGTTGAATGTGTCTTGATAGTCGGCCGAGCCAACACATTTGAGAATAATGAAAATTCTCAAATGTGTTTCAAAGAAGAAAACAGATAGCTGAACTTTTAGCGTCGTTGATTTCTTTCTGTATTTTTATTTTCTTATTCTCTTATATCCTCTGATATCTAATAACTTGTGATAAGATTATATTGAAATTTATTGATAAGCTTGCGTTAGTGAAAAAAATTTGTTCTAAATATGTATGTATTTATTCACATAAAATTACTTTGGATTCGGTTTAAAAAAATGTTTGCTTTCCGAAAAAAAAAATATTTACTACGTATTTTTAGTATACTCATATTTTAAATTCATTATATAACTGTTACGGTAACGTTCTGCGATATATTTGATAATATGTATATACGTATGTATGTATATCATTGAAACAAACTCATTTTGATTTCATGTCTTTGAATATTTTAAAACAATTATTACTAAAGTAGCTCTGAATTACATACTTATTTTTTGAGTCAATGGCATCATATAAGAATATGAGTCAGAAAAATATCCAAAATTTCTTCAACTTTTCCAATTTTCTCATTCCAAACATTTTTATTCTCTCACAATGAGTAATATCATCATAATTCAACAAAAATATTTCTATTACTCCTCACACTCAAATATTTTTTGGTGTCATTGCATTGAAATTTAATTTAAGATTAGGTTATATGTAATTTTGAGTAATATAAAATTATTTATCGTACAAAATAAATGTGAAGATGGAGTCAAAAATTAACATTAACAATTAAATAAAATTTGATGATTTACCTATTTGTAATAACTAAAATTTTAATTTTTAAAATATTTATTGTTTTCGATTCGCAATTGCAAATTGTTTCATCTGTATAATTATAATTTAAAATTGAGGTTTTATGATATTCAAGATCTAGATATATTGTCAATTGTCATATAAGTATGAAAGTTACGCATTTTAAAAATTTGTTACACGTTAAATGTGTATGGGTGTAAGTCAAAATTTTACGCTCGTATAAAATTTTAATTTTAAATTTTATGTATTGAATTCATGGATTTTATTTAAGTCGATTTTGTGATTTGAAATGATACTAAGGAATTACAATAACAAAGTAGTAAACACGCATTACTTATAAATAAATTTATATACCTTCATAATAAAATTTATAATTGGGCAGTTATCTTATCGCGGCTTATCTCTTTTATTACAGATGCTTTAATAAGTATATAAAATTATTTTTAAATTTTTTTTTATCTTTTAAAAACTTTTTATTAAAACTGATAAACTTTTTTTATTTCTATCAATTTAAAGAATAAAACTTTTATTTGAGCAAGAAATGAGTCATCTTTGATTTGCTTATTACAAAATAAATTTAATACAAACACATTTATAAGTATGTACATATTTACATATCTTAGTCATAATATTCTTGATTTTATCGTGAATATTTTAATTTGATCCATCATTATATTTGATATATTATGATGTTCATAGGAATTTCAATAATAAAAAAAAATTTTTTTTAGTTTATTTTCGTTATAAAGTCTGTAAATAGTTACAATCTTCCTAGTTGTTTAAAAAATTTCTAATAATAGCATTCTGTCATGATGTTTGTAAAACAAAAAAAAAAACTGGTTATTATGCTAATTTGAATAAGAAATCAATAAGTATATTTGCTCAATTGCTGTAAAATTGTATATAGCATGTCAAAACTTAGAAAACAAACTTAGATGTAATATCATAATTACAATCTAACTTTTTCTATATTTCGTTGAAAATCCACAAAAACGGAAATTCGAGTATTGAATATTTATTGAAAAATATTTCATTCATAATATCTATTGAGTTGTAAAACAATTACATACATATTTGTTTTTTAGAATAATCAATGTTTAATAACTGTGTTTATACAAAAACTTTTGGCTGACACGACTCATTTCCTTTGCCAAAAAAGCTCAACCGGTGATGCAAAAGACGTAAAAGATCTATGTGAACGCAATTAATGATTTTAAATGAGTGAATGTTCAATGATATAAATTTATTATAAATATTTTGCGCCTTCAAATTTAGTTATTGTTTAAAAATCATTCACAATAGTTAGGCTTTCGTTCTAATTGTGATTCTAGTTAAAATATATTTGTTAAAATTTAAGAACCGAGTGTGGTTTGTAATATCTTGCCTCTATAAGTTTTTATTTTTTCTATTATAATATTAGTATATTCAAAAAATTCGTTGTAAAATTTTTCATGAAATTTAGTTTTTATTAAGCTTTATTTCTATACTAAAAATTTTATAGTGATTAAACCAATATTAATATTTGCACAAAAAATAAAAAAAAAATATTAAAGTGGTTATCACATAATTTTGTTTTGTAAAAATATCAAATGTGTTTAGATAAAGTTCAAATATAAAAAAGCTAAATATTTACTTTAGATCAATGTATTTTTAAACTAATCAAAAATTTAAGCAAACACTTTTTAATCAAACACATTATTTATTTGAGCTTTACAAAACATGTACCGTATAATATCAAAACATAATAAGAACGCTATATTTTTTTGAATATTACGCCTAATACAAACGTAATACTAACATACACATTCCTGATGAAAATCACATTATCGGTTTATTCTCTTGTTATTCATTCGTATTTACCTTAAATTCCATAAAAGGATATCCACTCTATTTTATTGAAAACAAAGTATTCTTTTGAAGTTACTTAATTTTTATTCCGAAATCTATTAAAATTACAAAAATTGTTATTCATTAATATTCTAAAGATTTTCATTAAATTTTTTTTTTCTTATTTCCATTTTTAGTTTCTGCAATCGTTGAATATGATTATAACGCCAAAGAACCAGACGAAATTGATTTAATTAAAGGTGCCATCATACATAACATTAAAAAACAACCAGGTGGATGGTGGTTAGGAACTTTAGCATCAAATGGTAAAACTGGAATGTTTCCTGATAATTTTGTACGTGTTTTAGATAATAATGAAGAAAAAAGTCCGGTAGTATTAAGGTGAGTTTATTATATTGTCATTATACTAAATATACATACTCGTATGTATGAATAAAAAAAAATGTGTTATTTTTAATGACACTTTTAATTTTATTTTTAGGCCAAAATCTGAAAGTATTCATCGAAAATGTAAAGTTGTTTATAGTTATACACAAAATAATGAAGATGAACTAACATTAGCTGTTGGAGATATAATTGATGTTTTAGGAGTGGTGAGTTTTATGAAATTAATTTAATAAAAAATTATTTATGTACACATAAGCTATAGTGTTAGAACTTTAAATAATTAGTTATGTATTGTAAAATTTGATTGTAAATTGAGTAATATCCTACTAATTTTTATTTCATGAAAATTTTGTAATAGAATTAAGTATTATTTTTATGGAAGTATACTTATTATTTTATAGGAGAATAATTATTAAAAACTGAATTAATTATAAGCACTTAGCTTTGTAATATGTAAATAGATACTATTTTTTTGTTTTAAATAAGTAAAGCCTTCACAATTTGAAATTACACGCAAGCTCACTTGTTATTTTACAGTTGTACGTTAGAAAATTAATAATTAATTAAGTATTTAATTAAGCTTTACTTATTTATACGTAGTTTCTTAAGTATGTTAAAATCTATGGCATCTTTAAATATGTATTTTTCAAAGACAGGGCTATAATCATGTCAATTATGTCAAAATCTGTGGTATATTAAAAAATTGAAAATAAAATTTTGAAACATATTTCAATCTGAAATAAATTCAATTCACATATCTGTGGAGCTACGTGTTTTATGTAAGAAATTTTTCATTAGATGTTTAAGTCAATATTAATTATAATATACACATGTTGGAATAGGTTCATTCTCAACTAAAATATAATATTATATTGTTCAATTATTTAACAAGCTACAAAACCAATTGTCTCGATTATTACAAAATTTTAGGAGCCAATGCTATTAATTTGAATTAAAAATTAATTTTGAAATTAATTACTAGGCTTGCGTTTTAAGCAGTAATCAGATAATCTTAGTTTAACAACTTTTTAAGGTTTTGTATTTTAAAACACTTTTAACTGCTTTTTATTTTAATTCGATAAATATAAATCATAATATTTTTTCATATGTATCTTTGCTTATTTTATAAAATATTTTCAATTTAGATTGATTTACTAATATATTTAATTTTTTTATTTTGCAATAAATTATTTACTGATTGTTAAATGTTTTTTAACTTTAATTTATTTAAAATTGTTCCGAACACAGAAAATAAATTTTAAAATTTTCCTGAAAGATGGAAGCAGATTAGTTTTAGATTCTATTTCTATTGTAAGTTTAGTTAATATTAATCCTATGGAACATTTTATATATTGAATAAAAAACAGTTTATACTTTTTTCTTTTAGTATTTTGATATTTTTTAAATGATTAAGTAATAGCATTAAATAATTGAATAACTTTTACTTGTTGTTGTAGGTGGAAGAAGGATGGTGGCGAGGTAAATTAAATGATAAAATTGGAGTTTTTCCATCAAATTTTGTAGTACCAGTTGAACCTTCACCGATTTTAGCTAATCGCAAATCCAATAATTTAGCAACAGTACCAGCACCAGCAATAACGACTACAACGAATTCAATTAAAACTGAAAATCGTTCGAGTTTGCATAGTTCCAATGAAAATTTAATTATAGGAAGTGGTATTAGTGCGGGAATTAACAGCAAAATTAATAAATCAATAAAAGATAAAGAGAAAGATGTACCATTATTACCACCTAAACCAATGCGAGAGTTTTGTCGTGTTATGTTTCCTTATGAACCTCAAAACGATGATGAATTAGAATTACAAGTTGGTGATATTATACAAATTCAATCAAAGGAATTACCCGATAAAGGATGGTGGCGTGGTGAACTAAAAGGGAAAATTGGAGTATTTCCCGATAATTTTGTTACGTTATTACCCCCCGATGGTAAGTTTACACTTATAGGGCAATATTATTCATAATATAAATGTTATCTATATATTTCTTCTTCTCTTAAGCATATCAATATTTTGGAAGATATTCCTTTCCTTGCACCGGTGATTACATGTCACATTTAATTGATAGACTCTGTACGTTTTTACAATTTTAAGTTAAAATTCGAATCTTAGAGAAATATAAATTTTGAACTGTAGTTTTTGAAATAAAAATTTATACAAATTGCTAGAAATTATAAACATTTCATACAAATGTATTCGTTTAAAAATATTTAGATATTGATCCATAGTGTATTTTCAGAATATCTTTGCAAAGTAAATATTTTATGGAACTTAAAATTATTTAAATGCGAAGAAAAGGCAAAAAAGATCGTTATTTTAAAAAATTTACTGTATTTACTGTAAATTGTTACGCATTTACTATAATAGTGTCCATTAAATACAAATTAGATGAAAATTAAATAAACACTTTTGCTATTTTCTAATTCTTATAAAATATACAATTTTGTTTGCAGAATAATTAATATACTAATTATTTATTTGTTTAATAAATGTATTTGTACTTCATTAAGGTTTTTTAGTTAAATAATAATTTCATTTTTGTTTACATAAAATCAAATAAAATTTTAATAATAATATTCTTTACAATTAATTTTTATGATATCAATTAGTAAATGAAAAAAGGGTTTTATCATAACTATTACAGAATTAATTTCTTAAATTACAGAAATAGTTTTTTTTATATTTATTAAAATAAAGTTAAGGGAATTTGGTTAGGAAATTTTATAAAAAGAAATACTGAAGAAAATCGGTCTTTGCAATATTTGAATAAGAACATTAGTCTTCGCAATATTTAATTATCATTTTTAACTATATTTGTAAAAAGCAATTGCTGATTATTTCTTATATTATAAAAACCAAGCTATGTGCTTTTTTATTTGTTTTACAAAATTTTTAACAGTTGAGACAGAAATTCTGAAGAACTACTTATAAATATAACTTTAAATAAATGCGGTATGTTTCTTCTGTCAAATTTAATCATGTAGCAATTTTTATAATATAAATTTTTAGGACAATTTTAAGAAATTTGCAACTACTAATTAGAGGTGCTTATAGAAAAAGTGTTCATTAATTTTGACCACTCAAAATAGGTTTAAACAGAAGAGCTCACACTTCTTAAACGTTCTTTTTTCGTTGGAGTAGTCGATTCGAATCACGAAGTATAAACTACTAAGTAAAATATAAATTTTGTCTGATAAATATTGTAATTAACAAAATAATCAAATTTCTTTTAAATTATTTTATTAGTTTTAATATATTTTTAAAGTTTTTAAAACATTTGATTGTCTTATCAATTAAGACTTGTATAGTTTTCTTTAATTACAGCTAGGCTATGTGTTTTCGAATATCAGTATAATTTCTTATTCATTATTTACTCACCCAAAAAAATCAAATTTATATTTAGTTAATATATATTTATACGCGAATGTAAGACACATTTTATTTGGTAAAAAAGATAGTATATCAAATCAAAATTAGTTAGATAATTTACAACAAATTCATGTATTTTATTACGAAAATATTGTAAATAAAAATGAGATCATTCACTTTATTATCGTAAATCGTTATCAAAATTGCTATTAAAGAAGTTTTTTTATTATATCTTTTATTTTTAGGTAGTCAAAATTTTGGGTGTATCACTTTCTAATTACAAAATACTTTTTAATATTTTTTTTCATTATTTTATTTTAAATTGCTAACATATACAGGATGCTTTACAAATTTGCGATTCATTAGTAACAAATTGATTTTATTTTCTTTTTTGGCTAGGAATTGAAATGAGAATGAAAATTTATAAAAAAATAAAGGAACGCAAAATAATGAACTTTTATTCTAACAACTAATTTAATCAACTTTTCAACAATAATTTAATTTTAAATTTTGACATTAGTTAGTAGATGTAAGAGATTTATTAGTTTTTGAGAAATATATAGGTTTTATTATGAAAATAATCTTCCAAATATAATATGATAAGGAAATAAATTTAAAATATCAATAAATATATATTTTAATGTATAGAATTTGTCATGATTACGAACCTAATGTTCAAGAATACATACATTTTTTTACAATGTTTAATAATTCTTTTCCGAGTACACGTTTAGTAAGTATTTAAAATTAGGACAACATAGGACAAATTTTATATCAATCACTTTCGAATATGTTAAGACAAATTTTACCAATCTGCTAGCTAATTAAGAAAATGCAAATGTTTTAAAATATTTAAAATTCTTATAAAATTTAAAAAATGTTATACACCATGTATTCTTTTTTAATATATTTAAATTTTTCACTCAATTATATAACTTTATACCATCATGATATCGTAGTATATGGATATTGTACATATTTAGTAGATATTTAAATAGAAGAATCATACAAAGAAAATTTTTATAGTTAATTACATTATTTATATGAATTTCTACTAATTTTCAATCTAAAATTAAATATACTGTATTGGCATAAAATGGGAAGAAAAATTTGGTTTTCTAAAAAAAAAAGAAATTTGAAATTAATTTTATGCTCTAAATGTTTGGCAACATAAAAACATTCATTTCTCTTTATTTTTCTTTTTATTATATTTTATCGCACCATTATACAATAAAAATTAGCAACATATTGTTGTTCCTTATATTTTTCATTATTAAAAAATAGTAAATTTGTAAAGTATATTGTTTTGTGTTGCGTTTTATGTAGCATTGAGTAAAATGTAAAAAAATTATTTTGGTATTTCTTGTAACTTTAACAGTTTAAATAACTTTATTAGTCAGTAAACAGGTTGATATTGTACTTGTTGATTTCCACACGTATACATGATTATACTAAATTCGTAACATAATTTTAAAATGTGTATATTTGAACATATATATATACTTGCTTTTTATAATATATTCATTTTATTTACATATATTAAAAAATGTTGGAAAAAAAATTAATATTTTCAATATCATCATAAGAAAACTCATTAAAAAGCAAGAGAGAAATATGTATAACGAATATAATCAAAAAACCGATAGCTAGTGGGTTACATCATAAGCTTATGAGCATTATTTTAATTTTACATATGTGATTTGATTTGAATTTAAATGCTTAAACGCATAGATCAGCTTTTTGATCTAAGCTAGAAGCTTTTCAGCTTTATTTTATTTATTATTTTGTTTTTTTTTTTTTTATTTTCTTGAGTTAAACGCGGACGTTCAAGGTTTTTATTCAGTTTTTATTTACTTATTTCTATTTCATTTTATTTTATTTTTGTTGAGTTTATTAGTATTTGAGAAATTTATGGTAGCTTTTTTAAGTAAAAAGCAAAACGAAAAAACAAAATCAATTAAGAAGATAAATATAAGAAATATTGATTATTATAGCTTTTCAAGTGTATTTGTTAAAAAAAAATATTATAAAATTAATTTTCCGTTTGTAAATAATAAATAAAAATTAAAGACTTTAATAAATTTAAATTCAGAGTGCGCTCTTTAAACAAGAAAATTTTAAATATTTTTTACAATATTGTAATTAGCTTAATATAGCTTAAGAGTTTGAATTGAAATAAAAGCGCTAGGTTGTTCAATCAATTGTAAAGAAAAATTAATAAGAGTCCTTATGAAATTTGACAATAGTTTTTTATTTGCAGAGCAATGGACAATATCAATAGTTGGAGTTTAAACTTATGTTGTTGATTACTTTAAACTTGAACGGAGAATTATTATTTACATTTTTATTTAAATTTCATTTTATTTAGACACTTTCAACATAAACAATCCATTTGCTATACGTACTTTTTTAATCAAAATTTAATATTTTGATTTGCAAATTCCAATTTCAGATTCGCTTAATTTACCTTGTTTGCACCGGCCCTTTAACCGAAGGGTCTCGGGTTCAAACCCCGGTCAGGTCACTATAAAAATTATATTCAATATTATATAACTTAATATGCAATACTAATAAATATTATACAAGTAATTTTCAAATATTCATAATATTCGATACTAAAGACTAAGAAAAATAAAACAGTAAATATTAATAAACTGAAATATTTATTATAAATAAAAAAAAAAATCTACGGTAGGCTAGTCACCTACCTAGCTAACTCTCTATGACTGTGGAAACTAGGGCATGATAGATGTCATGCACTAGCCCTATACTCCTCCTAGGAGTGAAGAAGGAAAAAAAATAATTCAAACTAATTTCATAAGCTCATAATTGAACAATAAATTTTAAAATTTTAGAAATTGACTTTGAAAACATACAAATTTTTTTTTGGGAAACAATTTAAAAAAAAAAAATGTAATTAGTAAACGATTACAAATTAAACATGAAATTAAGATTTTAAATTTTTCTGAAAATTTTACTTAAAAAAAAGCCGCAACTTAACCAAACCGGAACGGAACTAGTTATAGTAAAATGTGAACTTTTACTTGAATTTAGTTTAATTACATTTTAATAATCTCTTTTTTTTTTGTACAAATTTAAAAATCCTATAGTAATGAAAAGTATACAAAAATGCGTTTTTACTTATTTTCTTTTCATTCCTTTTCTTACTTATTTTTTTTTTCATTTTTTCATTAGTATGATTATTGTTTTTTAAGTTAACCTTTATATTTTGTAAAGAAATAATGAAAATAAAATAAAAATGCAAAAACTGTTTGAAAACAATTTGAAAAAAAAATCTTTGACTAAAAAATAATTTTGTAGGAGGACAGTAGTTTAGTATTTAGTTATAAACTTTGAAGTCAAGATATATTTAATTTAATATATTTAATTTGAAAGCACAACAACGGAAAAAATAATACGAGAAACGTTAACAAGGTCGCAAAAGTAAAAGTAAAAAAAAAAAGAATTTCGCGCGTAAAAAAAAGAGGCATACAATATTTTGTTGTCTTATTAACTTAGATTTTATTTTCATCATATTTTGTGATTTTTGATAAAAATATATTTAATAAAATATTTAATTTAATTTAATTACATTCAATAACGAGAATTAATTAAAGAGTTACAAAACTTGTTAAAAAAGACATTATAAAAATAAAAAAGGAATCTAAAAAAAAAAGAAGATCACAGCAAAAAACAAAAAAAAA